GTCCTCTCCCCTTAATAGTAGTTTTTCTCATATTTTCTAACACTCAATTACCCCTTTGCATCCTAGTGGCTTTATTGCCTTTGATCTTCAAAAATTTAAATGCAATGTCAATCTTTATCTTCAGTCTTCTTAATTCTTGTTCTTTTATTGTCCTCTCCCCTTAATAGTAGTTTTTCTCATATTTTCTAACACTCAATTACCCCTTTGCATCCTAATGGCTTAATTGCCCTTGATCTTCAAAAATTTAAATGCAATGTCAATCTTTATCTTCAGTCTACTTAATTCTTGTTCTTTTATTGTCCTCTCCCCTTAATAGTAGTTTTTCTCATATTTTCTAACACTCAATTACCCCTTTGCATCCTAGTGGCTTTATTGCCTTTGATCTTCAAAAATTTAAATGCAATGTCAATCTTTATCTTCAGTCTTCTTAATTCTTGTTCTTTTATTGTCCTCTCCCTTAATAGTAGTTTTTCTCATTTTTTTCTAACACTCAATTACCTCTTTGCATCCTAGTGGCTTTATTGCCTTTGATCTTCAAAAAATTTAAATGCAATGTCAATCTTTATCTTCAGTCTTCTTAATTCTTGTTCTTTTATTGTCCTCTCCCCTTAATAGTAGTTTTTCTCATATTTTCTAACACTCAATTAACTCTTTGCATCCTAGTGGCTTTATTGCCTTTGATCTCAAAAAAATTTAAATGCAATGTCAATCTTTTATCTTCAGTCTTCTTAATTCTTGTTCTTTTATTGTCCTCTCCCCTTAATAGTAGTTCTTCTCATATTTTCTAACACTCAATTACCCCTTTGCATCCTAGTGCCTTTATTGCATTTGATCTTCAAAAATTTAAATGCAATGTCAATCTTTATCTTCAGTCTTCTTAATTCTTGTTCTTTTATTGTCCTCTCCCCTTAATAGTAGTTTTTCTCATATTTTCTAACACTCAATTACCTCTTTGCATCCTCGTGGCTTTATTGCCTTTGATCTTCAAAAATTTAAATGCAATGTCAATCTTTATCTTCAGTCTTCTTAATTCTTGTTCTTTTATTGTCCTCTCCCCTTAATAGTAGTTTTTCTCATATTTTCTAACACTCAATTACCTCTTTGCATCCTAGTGGCTTCATTGCCTTTGATCTTCAAAAATTTAAATGCAATGTCAATCTTTATCTTCAGTCTTCTTAATTCTTGTTCTTTTATTGTCCTCTCCCCTTAATAGTAGTTTTCTCATATTTTCTAACACTCAATTACCCCTTTGCATCCTAGTGGCTTTATTGCCTTTGATCTTCAAAAATTTAAATGCAATGTCAATCTTTATCTTCAGTCTTCTTAATTCTTGTTCTTTTATTGTCCTCTCCCCTTAATAGTAGTTTTTCTCATATTTTCTAACACTCAATTACCCCTTTGCATCCTAGTGGCTTTATTGCTCTTGATCTTCAAAAATTTAAATGCAATGTCAATCTTTATCTTCAGTCTTCTTAATTCTTGTTCTTTTATTGTCCTCTCCCCTTAATAGTAGTTTTTCTCATATTTTCTAACACTCAATTACCCCTTTGCATCCTAGTGGCTTTATTGCCTTTGATCTTCAAAAATTTAAATGCAATGTCAATCTTTATCTTCAGTCTTCTTAATTTTTGTTCTTTTATTGTCCTCTTCCCTTAATAGTAGTTTTTCTCATATTTTCTAACACTCAATTACCTCTTTGCATCCTAGTGGCTTTATTGCCTTTGATCTTCAAAAATTTAAATGCAATGTCAATCTTTATCTTCAGTCTTCTTAATTCTTGTTCTTTTATTGTCCTCTCCCCTTAATAGTAGTTTTTCTCATATTTTCTAACACTCAATTACCTCTTTGCATCCTAGTGGCTTTATTGCCTTTGATCTTCAAAAATTTAAATGCAATGTCAATCTTTATCTTCAGTCTTCTTAATTCTTGTTCTTTTATTGTCCTCTCCCTTAATAGTAGTTTTTCTCATATTTTCTAACACTCAATTACCTCTTTGCATCCTAGTGGCTTTATTCCTTTGATCTTCAAAAAATTTAAATGCAATGTCAATCTTTATCTTCAGTCTTCTTAATTCTAGTTCTTTTATTGTCCTCTCCCTTAATAGTAGTTTTCTCATATTTTCTAACACTCAATTACCCCTTTGCATCCTAGTGGCTTTATTGCCTTTGATCTTCAAAAATTTAAATGCAATGTCAATCTTTATCTTCAGTCTTCTTAATTCTAGTTCTTTTATTGTCCTCTCCCTTAATAGTAGTTTTTTCTCATATTTTCTAACACTCAATTACCCCTTTGCATCCTAGTGGCTTTATTGCCTTTGATCTTCAAAATTTAAATGCAATGTCAATCTTTATCTTCAGTCTTCTTAATTCTTGTTCTTTTATTGTCCTCTCCCCTTAATAGTAGTTTTTCTCATATTTTCTAACACTCAATTACCCCTTTACATCCTAGTGGCTTTATTGCCTTTGATCTTCAAAATTTTAAATGGAATGTCAATCTTTATCTTCAGTCTTCTTAATTCTTGTTCTTTTATTGTTCTCTCTCCTTAATAATGATTTTTTTCCTAATATTATCCTATATAAGTAACACTTGTCGTATTAGTGGATTTATTGCCTTTCTTGAGGTGAAGTGATTTAAAAAAAAATACGTTTACGGTTCAATACACTACTGCACTGTATAAAGATTTACAAAGAAACTCCACGCTTATTGATCCTGACCTGATATCTAAGCTTCAGTCTCTTTCCCACCGTCGTAAATTATGTTCACTCTATACAAGCCACTCAAGGTAGAGGGTTAAGAGTGTAAGAGGCCCACTTTATGTAGATATGTTGAGAAGATAATGATTAACCCTAGACTTGAACAGGTTAAGATTGCCAAGCAGTACTGCATACAGTTTCCAAATTTCTGGCGGAGTGAATTGCATCATAATGTTCATTTTTTTCACAGACGTATTTATGTAGGGTGTGATGGGTTGATTGCCACCATTTTATACTTTTAATTTAAGCTAGCTCCTGCAAAAGGCTCTTGATTAGGCCTTCGGCTTGTTCAGGAATTTGAGAGTCCCTGTCTTTGCATATTCTCAGCATTGGAAGCTTTCTTGGCTGTCGTTTGACCTTAGTTTTTTTTAGTTGCAAGGGACTTTCTTTTCCTTGCCACAGCCTTGACTCTTTTGATTGCAATCTGATCCTCTGTTGCAGGAGATTTCTTTTTGTGAGGCATATTGTTGCCGTATACGATAGGCAACAGTAAACTACAGAAGAACTCAAAATTTACTGCTGCATTTAAGTATTGCATTAATATCTAAGCTTACCTTTTAAAAGTTCAATGATAATTCTTCTGTCGCCACTTAATTTAAGGACAATTTAGTCTTCTTAAACCCTTATTTTCCGTACAGACAGTTATTTCTAATTCATGGGTGATTTTCACTGGGTTTTGCAATTCATTTCGATTATTCCTAAATTTATTTCCAAGTTATAAAATTTATTAACATACAAAAAATTCGTCGCAAAAATCACGTAAAAAGTCTCCGAAAATGCAGTAATGAAATCCAAAATTTCTGTAACATGAGCTATTGAAAGTTAGAGTTTTGTCCCTTTAGTTAAAAAAGTGTAACACAGTGACATTCGCATTTATTATTATTTTTAGAGAGAAAGAGTGAAGTCGTGTCTCTTTCGATCTATGACTGACTCGGCAGATTTTTCTGCAGTTGGTTGCCATTTCTTTCTGAAGTAAGACTGGTTGCCATCCAAAGCTATAGAACACTGTCTGTCCTGATTATTTTTCCCATAGCTGGAGGGAGAAGAGATAGATTCATACGTTGTATTTTCACTTAAGTGAATGCAACGAATTCAACTGAAATTCGAACTCGGCTCTCTGATTTCTCATCCGAAGCCGATATCCATTACACCACGACACACATCGAATTGACTGTCTGTCTGTAAGGATTGAACGAGAAGTGGGAAAAGGAAATAACTGAACCATTTTATGATTAACTGACGTTGACATCTTTATCGTTATAAATAAAAAATAAACCTAATCTGAGCTTTTTTTTCCCTTGATTATAATGTTACCGACTTGGCACAGACTTCGTTACTTGCTGCATCAGACTGGGTAACAAACTCATTTTCATATTAAAAGCTTCTTTCTACTTTTTATAGAGAGATATGTTAAAACTATTTGTAGGAAAAGAAAAGAAAAAAGAAGCTCTGAAAAGACGGATTACGTAATTCTTTGCTGGCGTAGAGATGTCAGATTCGTTTCTTTGATTTATTTTAAGGTTTCGATATGACTATTTCCAAATGTCTCTGCTGAATACCAAAGCAGAGACATTGTATCATTTATTAATCACACCCATACTCTATTTGTTGATACAAGTAACTTTATATATGTTGATAAATTGGTTTTTTTTTCCTATTGTTCATATCACAAACGCATGGCAGGTTTTCATTTTATTACACTGAATATTGGAAGATAAGCGTCGAAAAGATAAAAACTGATATTTTTTTAGATTTTCATTCTCTCATAAAAGATCAATGCTATCTATTATCGATGATTGAAAAAAAGATTTTTTATAATTTTTTCAGCTGTCTTCTTTATTTATATTTTTGTTTTAAATCGCCCCAAAACATTATTTGATGACTTCCAAAAATGGCTTCAAATGATTCAATCAGTTGAATATTTAACAAGATGATTCTTCATCAGACCCTGTAGACTGGCGCAGAAAAAGTCACAACCGAAGAGTTTTTACCAAATGAAAAAACCTCATCACTTCAAAAAAAATTGTTATTTTTTTAAATAATGTTCATTCTGTACAAGTCCCGGGAGTCACTCGATTTAGAGGCTTACAAAGAGGTACAATTTATGCGGTTATGTAGAGAAGATAATGATTAACGCTAGACTTTACCAGGTTAATATTGTAGTGATAAGGGAAGCGTCCTTCTGGGAGCCGGTTCCACAGAGCAGTAGTTCGTAGGAAGAAGACCTTTTTATGAGCTGATCCCCACCAATTACAGAAACTGGCTACATCCTTGATAGATAGATAGATAGATAGATAGATAGATACATAGATAGATAGATAGATAGATAGATTTTGCTATATACATATATACTATTTACACTGTTTACATAGTTCGGACAGTTGTCCTCGTCTTTATTGCCATATTCACGACATTTCAGCCGTTGCACGCTCCGACCTTCTTCAGAAGCCTTTGTTTAGTCCATGTAGTGATTTTTTCTATATGTTTTGGGTATAAAATTTAACCGATTTCTTTTAGAATCTTTTTTCTTTTTATTTGTATTTCCATCCCTTTTGTTATTAAATATCCCACATTATGATAATAGAAAAGCTGCCAACAATGATGAAACCTGGATGCAAATTTACTGTTCATGATTTCGTGATTAAATCACTTTCTAAACATTTTTGTCTTAACAAATTGTTTCCACTTTTAACACGAATACCATATTTCATATAAAATAGTGGTCATACTCTTTACAGTGAGAAACTAATTCATTTAATCTGTTCTTTTGTAAAATAACCCATTTTGAGTTGATATAATCTTTTATTTAAATTCCTTGATGTTTCTCCAATGTATTCCTTGTGGCAATTTTTACAGGTAATAGTGTAAGTTCCTACTTCAGGCTTTAGCGTGTTTTTTTTTTTTGTGTGTGTGTGTTAATTAAGACTTTTATTTATTATACGGTGAAGTAATGGATAGCGGTTGGGTTTGAGGAATCGGAGTGCCGAGTTCGAATTCCAGTCAAATCCATTACATTCACTTACGTGCTAATACCCTTGGGAAAATTATGAATCCTTTCCTCAAAGCTATGGGTAAATAGCAGGACAGACTGGGTTCTTGGATGGCAACTGGTCTACCGCAGAAAGATATGGCAACTTATTGCGGGAAAATTATGCCTCGTCAGTCATGTATCGATACATGATAGCTTAAGTGTGTATCACGCATGGCACATAACTGACTGAAGACTTTTATTGCTTTAGGCGTAGATCTACAACTGTTAGTTGTCATTACTCCCAGAATCAGCGAACCACTAGACAATAAGTTCATCACGAGGATTATTCCCTTAGATATATGAGAAAGCCTTTGAAAGGGTGTGGCATCAGTTAACTCAAGTTTTGTGAGTGAAATTGGGTAGACAGAACATTTGGGGTCCGTCGATGGTTGCGCTAACACGAAGTCACAAGTCATCGTGACCGAGTGTTTTAGTGTGCTCAGACTGTTGATCATGCTAGATAACGCACTATCACCCAGAAACTGTGGGTAAGGTCTGCTCAGCATAATTGCAATGTAAACCACAGGTGGGCTCCGTGGATGTTGAACAAACACAAATGTGCCAGAGCGGACGTCTGCAATAGGGATTTGCTAGCCGCTCTAGTAGATGGACATTCTCGAATACGAGTGGCTAGCCATTATATATTAATACACGAATATAAGAAGTGACTGCAAATGTTTTCAGCGTTCTTGATTTTCAAGACGAAAGTTGAAAACCTGTTATTTTAATTAAAAACGACACTTGGAACCATTTGTATACATGATATTTATATATGCGTGTGTGTGTGTGTGTGTGTGTGTGTGTGTGTGTGTGTACGGGAGTGTATAATATTATCCGAATTAGAGAGATGATGATGAGTGGAAAAGTTTATACACGACAAGTTTCGCCGAAGTCTATTGGTCTAGGAATGAAAAACAAAATTGGGCATAAGGAAAATACGTTGGGATTTCTTAAGATAAGAGGAACAATAAATTAAATTAACTTATCAGATCTGACGACCAAGAACCAGAAATGATTGTTTTGTTTGTTTGCTTCTTTATTATATATATATATATATATATATATATATATATATATATATATATATATATATATATATATATATATATATATTCAGACATGTTTCATTGAATAATATAGTAGTTGATCTTGGAAAAGGCCGAAAGTTTAAAAAAAAAACTACGGCGCTTTTAATCGATGAATTTCATCTTAACATCAAGAAACTGATTAGTTAATTTGCATAGATCAGCATAAAAAAATAAGTAGACACAATATGTCTATATATTCAATGATACATATTTGAATGAAGATAAGCAGCCTAAATACATACACAGAAATACACACACACACATATATATAATATAATAATATATATATATATATATATATATATATATATATATATATATATATATATATATATATATTAGAGACGTTGTTGTCCCAGAGTAGATCTTTTTCTCTACTCCCTCATTGTACTATTATTGCTTTTGCGATGATCGATGATACTATGTAAGGTCCTGGTCTTAGGTACATCGTCGGGAATTAGATTCATTCTGAACTGAAAAAGCCGAACTCGACACATCGTCGAAACGTGTCGCTTATAAGCTTTTCCACGTTGTCCCACCTTTCTCTCTCTCTTTCTCTCTCTCTCTCTCTCTCTCTCTATCTATCTATCTATCTATATATATATATATATATATATATATATATATATATATGCTGTTATAACATGTGTGCATCCGCGAACGCCTATCGGTATCGGCGTAAATAAACAATGGCTTATAATAAACTGTACGGGTGCCGATGGAAATATTCGTACAGTGATATATTTCCACTTTCACCACATGCATCTACCACTTTCATTGCAGCAGGTGAATCTTGCGCCGTTCGCCCTCACACTGTCTCAGTTTGAAACGCGAACATTTGTTTTCAAGTCCACAGATCCGGCACGACCACCCCCTCCGCTATTGCCTATCACGATGAAAGATGAATCGAAATCCTCTCTGTGTCTCTTAATAGTTAATGACAGGCATAAACACACAGGTGAAGAAGAAATTGTTTCTTATCTTCTATTTCCTGGACGCGAAAAAACTCCATAACTGATTTATACGGTTGAACAAAAGAAGGCAAAAAAAATTATAATAATATTCAGTTAAAAAAGACAAAATAAAAAAAAAGCAAAGAGAAAAAGATCAAAGATAGATCTTATATAGATAAGAAAAGAATTTTTTAAGTAAATTAAAAGGGAAGGAACGTTCGTATATAAAAGTGTAGGTTAGTTCTTGTTGTTGGCAAACACAGTTGACGAAAGAAATTGTAAAACAGTGTTTCTAAACCTTTTTACACAACGGCACACCTAGGAACAAAGAATATCACGGCACACTTAGGAAAATCTTTAAAGGATATACATTTAAACGTTATGAAATAAAACCATAGATTAAAAAAAAATCCACCCATAAATATGAAATTACTTTATTTCCATGTTTCTATTCAATTATTTGTGCAGCATATTTAGTGTAAAATCTGTGCCTGGTATTTTTTTCAATGTTTGGTCGAATGTGAGATAAGCAGACCCCCATTTCTTTTTCAGTTGAGCGTATCCTTTCTCACTTTTTATTCTTGATGTTACTTAGGGTTGAGAAGCCTCATTTGCATAAAAAAGATGTAGAAAATTGCAATAAAACTGATAAATCCTTTTTAGGTAATGTATGATATTACTTTTTTATTGAAATACAAAATGTATCAATGTTTGCTGTCGAATCTTTTATTTTGATCCCTTAAAAAAATAAAATACTCTTTACAAAAATGGATATTAAAATAAAGTTTCACAGAAAATATTCGTCCTCCGACAGGAATATTTTCTATGAAAATTTCTCTGACATTCAGGTCGGTAAATGTTGTTTAATACTGTTTATTATAAACAGAGCATTTACTTAAATATTTGTATCTATAAAAAGAATGTATAAACATAAAAAATGTCTTAACATAATTGTCGGACTTTGTCCATTTTATAATGTGTGACGTCATTTGTTTACATTTGGATACTCTTTGAGCAGATATGAATGTACGCGAGAGATTCATAGAAGATTGAAGTTTAAAGGCAGTAAATTCGACCTTGCTAATCGAACGATCCTCTATGACCCGATCGGTTAAGATCACGTCATATATATATATATATATATATATATATATATATATATATATATATATATATATATAGTGCAACTCGAAGAATCTAATATACATAATTACATGCAATGGTTGCTACGAGCATTATACTGGCCGACAAAGGATGACAGTTCATCGCTAGGAAATTAGGGACCCCCCCTCACCAGAAAAATACCCAATTAGCCAACATATAGAGGAATGCGGAGGACAAAATCTGCCAAATTTTAGTGTCTTCCCATTCTATCAGTGCAACTACAGAACCACTGAACAAAGGCAGATAAGAAAACATTTTTCATCAAAATGGTTCAAACCCATACTTAATTCTTTGCATAAATAGATTCTACCAAATTCCTCTTACTATAAATGACATATATAGCAAGTTACGGCCTTTGATTTTCATTATTTTCATTGGTACAAAATATAAGCATCAACACGTGGAGATAGAAACAGTTAAAAACCTTTAGAAAAGCTAAACTAAACCGGTTAAAGTAAAAAAGTTTTAAAAAAGGGAAAACAACAAATGATATGGATATGTATATGTATATGTATATGTATAAAAATTTATATATTGTTTTATATATTTATTGTTTATACATTATTTTTAAATACAAATATTTAAGTAAATGTTCTATTTATAATAAACAGTATTAACAACATTTACCGACCTGAATGTTCGAGAAATCTCAAAGAAAATATGTGTCCTCCGACAGGATTCGAACCTGTACCATACACGGAACCGTCATATAGCCTGACGTGCTATACCATTTAACTACAGAGGAAGTGTCTAGTGACTAATATCGAATGACTGCTTTTAAACTACAAATATTCCATGATTTCTTTCAAACACCCATATCTGCTCGAGGTGTATGTTAACGTAAACAAATTACGTCATATATTATGAAATGGACTAAGTCCGACAATTATTTTAATATATTCATACGTTAGTTTTATAGATACAAATATTTAAGCCAATGCTCTGTTTATAATAAACAGTATTAACAACATTTACCAGCTTGAATGCCCGAGAATTTTCATAGAAAATATGTGTCCTTCGACAGGAATCGAAACTGTATCCTATACGAAACCATCGTATAGCCTGACGTGCTATACCATTAGCTACAAAGGAAGCGTCTGGTTTGCAAAGTCGAATTATTGATTTTAATTTATTATTTGTAAAAAAGTTGTTATACAGTAGTTTCAAAGTGGAGGCTTGTATTTCACTAAGTCGGTCCTAAAATAGGTTCGACGTACAAAACGTTAGGAACTTCATATAATAGGTATGACGCAGAGTAATCTAGTTGTGGTCGCTGATACTTTAATATCCGACTAACGGTCGTCCGACATCGACTGACTGACCAACTCACTGAGCGACTCAGCGACTCCTACTACTCCTACTTATTATAGGTGGGAGAGTCTATTAACAATAGAATAGGTGTGTTCCAGTATAACAAAAGTAAACTGGCATTGGGATAGGTGTGGCCAGCCATCATCATCATCATCATCATCATTGTCGTCTACTAAATACGAAGATAATCAATTCCGTAGCTGCAACAAATGTTTCGTTGCGTGAGTAGTTGAAATACACATTTTTGACTTCTTCAACCCTCAGATTAAAAAAATACCATTTTTCCACAACTAGCAGCCATAGCCAGCTGATCGATCAGAAAAAGCGTTCAATTAGAATGAAGTAAAAACATCATCATATTTAGATGTAACAAAGTCTATATACTTTAAATTACTTTCATTAAAAAAAAATACATTTTGAATTAATTCAGTTACTGATATAACAGAAGTAGTCTGTATTTATCCAATCGAAGTTAGCCGAGGACATGAAGGGGTAAAACAGGCAACATGAAGAACCACTTCAGACCCCAATTATTTTGAAGTTTTTGAAATTCAATTTGTCAGTGTTCTACCAGGGATGTAAAAGAGGATACATTTATAAAGCAATTGTTAAGTTTGATGAAAATTGGTTAAAATATCAACGAAAAAAGAAAGAAACCAGTAAAAATAGCCATTTTTCGCTATTTACGAGGTTTTTCACTATATGGGTGGGCTTAATTAAACAATCAACTTATTGTTGGCTATAAATGAGTGAAGATTGTATTAGATTGCTTGAAAATTGAGGGAGTTTTTAGCTTAAAATTTGTATTGAAATCGGTTTTTCGTTTTTCGTGGTTTTTCGCTAAACGCAGTGGCATAGAAATAAAAATGAGGTATCGTTGAGCTCGTCATGATGTAAGTAACCTACATACAGAGTTTGAACGAAATCGTAGGAAAAAAATTGAATTTATAGATTTTGATCGGCTTTATCGATTATTGATTTTTTAAAAGTGATCGATTTTTTACGCTAAGGACCTATCTCTTACATTGTACAATGTATGTGCCAAGTGTGGTTAAAATCGGTTGGATGGATCTCGAGTGAAAAGGTATCACACAGGCACAGAGACACACAGACTTCCTCTGTTACATATAATAAATCTAATAAGTCGTTTCTCTGCTGCATGTGAAGCCTTTGGTCTTACACTTAGCATAAAGAAAACTGAAGCAGTGCACCAACCTTGTCCTACTCCGAAGCAATTCTGTGGTGAGAAACAAAAACCACCAGTCTACAAATTTCCAGAGAGACCATTGAAAGTAGAAGACAAAATCCTGAACTATGTAAAGACTTTCACCTATCTTGGTAGCAAAGTCAATTACAGTGGAACTTTAGATGATGAAATCATGCATCAGATTGCTAAGACTATCAGTGCTTTCGGCAAACTTCGCCATCGATTGTGGAATGAGTGGGGGTATTCGACTGGATACGAAAATTCGGGTTTACAGAGCTGTTGTCCTTGCTATCCTTTTGTATGGCTCAGTCATGGACTCCGTACAGGTACCATATACGCCAGCTGGGTGCAATCTGTGGAGTTAACCTTCAAGATATGACATCTAACGTAGACCTGTTTAACAGGTGTAATATTGGAGGAATCGAGGCTTTTATCATACAGTCTCAGTTACGATGTACTGGTCATGTCTTGAGAATGTCTGATGACAGGATATCGAAGATCCTAATGTACAGCCAGTTAGATCAGGGCTACAGGAATGTAGGACGCCCATGGCTAAGATACAAAGACAAGCTGAAGAGCAACTTGTCAGCTGTCAATATACCTCATAACACCTTCGAGCGCTTAGCCTTTGAGCGGGTAGAATGGACATCAACGTGTTTTAATCTGCTTGTCTGAATCGTCTTCAAGAAGCGAGAGCAATATCTATAAGGTCAGCCAATCTAACACTGATCTCATCTCACAATTCTCACTCCTGCTCCATATGAGGCGTCCTTTGTAAATCACTAGCGGGTCTTAACTGCCACTTAAGATTATCGCACAAAATTTCATAACTTAATCAACTAAGCTGTCAGATCTTCATACGTCGAAACCGACGGGAGAGTCCATTATTATTATGATATATAGATAGATAGATAGATTCACCACTTGTCCGGTTCACACACCTCCCAGCTCTTTTGAATAGGTTTATCCCTTGTTTCCTGTTTAGGATTGGGATATCAGTTTCTTCTTCTCTGTATTCATGTGCCATATTTTTTTTAGATTTTACTTGTATTTTGATTGTTTTTTTTTTTACGTCAATAAGAAAATATATTCTGTTTTTAGGGTTCTTTGATCATTATATCTGACCGGTTAGCTTTTATTGTTTTGTCTCATAAAGGGCCCGATAGGTAAATTGTCACCATTTTATATTTTTAATTTTGCGCATGCTCGTTGTTCGTTTTTGAATTTGTCAACTGCACAGTATAGTAGAGTCAGTTGGGCACCGTCTGTGAGAAAAAGATCACCATGACGCAATTCACTCCACTAAAAATTTGGAAACGGCATACCGTACTCCTTGGCATTCGCGCCGGAAGCTTTAGTGCAAACATTTCAAAGTGTTTGGGTGTCAATCTGAGGACACCGCAGAGAATTGGTAATTACGAAGGCAGGGCAGCCCGGAAAACTCATTCTGATCGTTCTGATAAGAAAAGAACTCTCGAATTTGTTGGTGAGGGACTATAACTTAACACTTGAGCAGGTAGTGCTTCCCTGGGTCAAAAGGGTGGCTGACAACAGGACTCTGCACCATACCACATAAGAAAGAGAATCCAGTCATCACCCTTTACATATGGCCACCTTGTGTAGGGCGTACAAAGACCAAAAAAAATTCCTCGTAACACCAAAGATGAACTGAAGCAAGGATCATGGCATCATTCACCAACAAGGAGACCGTCCAGAATAGTTGCAGGAGATTCCGAAGTCGTTTAGGAGCTGTGGTTGAAGCCAATGGATATTTTATTCAATAAATTTACTCTTTAGTATTACAAGATATTTTGTGTAATTTTGGTAAATATATCTCTTAAAATAAGATTTTAGCGTTATTTTCATTTTTGCGTCATTTAGACGACAATTTATCCATCGCACCCTGTATATCTGTAAACATTCTGGTTGGTGTACATTCAAATTCCATGCATTTTCCTTCCCATAAAAATTGAAAATCTTCCACATAGATAGATAGATAGATAGAGAGAGAGAGAGAGAGAGAGAGAGAGAGAGACTAACAGAACTTGCTAGCTAGCTAGCACGATATATAGATAGATAGATAGATAGATAGATAGATAGATAGATAGATAGATAGATAGATAGATAGATTGAGATAAATTGCTAGGAAGATATGAAGAGATAGATAGATAGATAGATAGATGGATGGATGGATGGATGGATGGGGCACCTAGAGACGGTGTAATGGTTAGCAAGCTTGGCTCGCTAGAACAATTACGACTGAGTAGTGAGTTCGATCCTCACTGGGTTCCCCCTAATTTCGGCCTTGTGCCACATCTAAGCTACGCTTGGAAAAATCACTAGATAGATATATAAATAGATAGATAGATAGATAGATCAAAGAAAAAAAGTAACGGCCAAAAATTCATTAGTGAAATATATTTAGAAAGAGCCCAATGAATGACCTTGAAACTGTTGGGGAAATGTGAATCAATTAACCAATCAAAAGAAAGCCAGTAAGCCCGAAAATAATTATCCATTAGACTAAAAATAAATTTTAAATTAAATTTCACTTTAGAATAGCTTCCACTAATTTACAACAATGTCTTATATTTCGTATTTCTTCTAGTTCATATCTTCTTTAGTTATATTTGGCCTTTGTCTCACCAAGTAAATGTTCAGATAGGGTGTACTTAGGTCAGTGTCAAATTTTAATAGGCGAAATTAGCAACAAATTTGAAATTTATGTTTTTTATACTAATTTAGAACTTGGATTTTAATAGAAATTTTAACTACACATTAATTATGTTTCCACTATATATAACAGCTGGCTGTCCGTTTTCCAGGTGTAGCCGGCTACAATTGTGGCCATCTAATCCCTGTTTCAGACGCCTGCCCAGGCACAATTGTTTTTGTTCAGTATCTACAAAGCCAACTTGTATTTTATACTGAGCGGAACTGAGTTACACTTTCTCAGCGCGAACGCATACTCTGTTGTGATCAACAATTTGAACAAATCTATTATTCTTGAAACCTTGGTCAGAATGACTTGTGACTTCGTGCTGACACAATCATCAACAAGTTCCCAAAAATTGGTTGGGGTAAATACGTGGTATGGTTTTCAGGCAATTCTCAAAGATTCCGAAGACCAGGCTGATATTACCAAGAACAGATTCAATCTTATGATGTTATATATATATATATATATATATATATATATATATATATATATATATATATATATGTATGTATTTAAATAAAAAGAAAGAACAGTAAGATATATAATCCGGTGTTCTTATAGATATTTTTTTTTTACAAAATAGTGCTCAATGTAAATTTACAGAGCATTAATATTATAAATTAATTGATTTAAAATATGTTTTTTCCGCTACACAGTTCTAACCATGTTTCAAAATGGAAGCTAAAAGCCACGAATTTAATTTTGCAATTAAATTAAAGACATTAGTTCCATTTCATCCTCAAGCGAATTTTGGAGTAACTTTTAAAATTACTG